CAGCACAGATGGGACTTTTTCTTTTCTAACTTTTATGATAGGTTATTAGATCAACAAGGGCTAGCCTAATAATTGCACAAAACCATAAAGTATGCCTTGAAAGAAGAAAATTTGGGATTTTAATAGGCTTTTGGGTTTTGATGAGCATGTGTTCAATCTTGCTGCATTCTTATACAATGGAAAGTTTCAGTTTTCTGTTTGTAAAACAACTGCAGGCTGAGAATGCTGTTGCAGTTATCAGCAAAGCTCAGTACTGTTTTTGGACTTAGCAACCTTTCCAAATGGACTTTGAAGAGTCCCTAAACTGTGTGGGAAATTATTTTGAGACAAAATTCATCCATCTCACCTTCTTTGTATTATAACTCCATTAATTTAATACAGCACTAGATGATTAACCCTTACTGACTTACTCTTTCATTAATGACCAATGGTTGATAGAATCAACCATTTCAGCAACAGAGAATGAAACCATTCATTCATACATCCCTAAATAATTATTGTATAAAACACTGCCTGAGTCCTAAGATGCAGCAATGGACAAAACAGAGTTTTGCTGTTCTGGAATTTACAAGCAAAGAAGCTAAACCTCTTCTCTTTGTGGGAAACACTTTCCATTAAGTCTAATGGTACATTAAGTCTAATTTTGCAAATAAAATCTCATTGTAACATAATCTCTAGCCAATTTCAGTTTGTGGTATACTTTAAAAATACCAAATATTGACTGGTAATAGCCACATACTGCTATTTATTTCATTTATTTAAGTGAATTAAAAAAAAATTAACAGACGATTACAACCCTGGTGAATCAGCTGGTAAAGAATCAGTCTGCAATGCGGGAGACCTGGCTTTTATCCCTGGGTTGGGAAGATCCCCTGGAGAAGCGAAAGGCTACCTACTCCAGTATTCTGGCCTGGAGAATTCCATGGACTACACAGTCCATGGCTTCGCAGAGTTGGACACGACTAAGCGACTTTCACACACACACGCACATGTACTTACTGTTACGTTGCATCTGAGATTAGCTATCTTTGGCAGGAATCTTTTTAGCCTAAGGCTTACCTGTACAACAAACAAAATCAAAGTCATAGGTATTACCCTTAGGGGGAAATGGTGAAATATTTGTAAATTCTTCCTCTCTGGATTCTTCCAGTGTCTTTTACTTGGATCTTGCTCTGATCTTAATGGCCCCACAGTGGTTAGCATAACCACTAATACAAGACTAAAATGATAGAACAATAAGTTACAACTTGTATTGCTAAGTGCTTGGCATTGTGCTAAGCATTTTACATGCTTTATTATATTTAATTGTTACAACAATCCTATGAGGCAATTAGTCTCATACTTCACAGATGAGAAAAAACTGAGAAAACTGAGTAGAGAAGTAACTTAACCAAGATCACAGAGTGAGGCAGAGAGACTTGCTCCCCAGAGATGATGCTTGCAGTCACTGAGATTAAATATTTGTTGGGGAAAACCCCATTTTTACAGCTCTAGAACTTCTGTGATGCAGGCAAATAGAGCACATAAAAGAAGAAAAAAATAAATATCTTTCAGATGCAAAAATGGTGTAGCTGTGGCCGTCCTAGTCATGGGAGCAAGACTTCAGGAAGGCTCCTCATATCACCTGTTGAACCTATTGCACCATCTCCCCAAAGGCAGTTTAAGGTTGTTTTCTTTCTCTTCTCCTTCACTACAGCTCCAATAGGTCAAGCAAGGTTAAAATCCCACTCAATAAACTTTGAAACCAGCAATTTCTTTACTAGGAAACCAATACAGTTAAAATAGATAATTTAATAACTATTACAATAAAAGTCTATTAAAATAACAATGGGAGTTACATTATTAGGCTGCCCAGCATAGGTACCTTGAATAGTCCATGATAAAAATAATAAAAGAGCTTCCCATCTTTTTCTCTTGGCTCTTCTCTCCCTCTCCAAGCTTTTTTTTTTTTTTTTCCTCTTTCTTTGGTGAGACTGGGTAGTTCTTTGCACAAATCATGAGCATTTAGGTCCTTGTGCTGTGAAAGTGGAAAGTTAGCTAGGATTTTTTTCATAAGAATTTTACAGTAGTATAAGAATATAACAAACCTTGAAAAGAATGTCTCCTTCTGATTTCAATAAGTCGTATTTGTGAGAAGCATAATAATGTCTTCATTTGCTGGAAAGATCTGTTCAAATATAAATGCCATAACGAGTTGTGAATTTGGTTATAAAGACAGAAAAGTCTGTTATGGTGGTGTCATGCCCTGATGATGTGGCTCTGCCTGTAGACACATTCATTACCTGCATCTGTGAGCAAATGATGGGACAGAAGGAAGTTATTAGGGGTTTTAACTTGACGCATAGGACAGTGGGTGTCTCCTTGTGAATCTGTGTGTGTGTAAGGCAGTTAATTAATCCAGGGTAAAGCAGGTCCTTAGAAATGGGTGCTTTACAACTCTACTGTCTGTTGAGAATTTACAGAGCAAGGAGGATGCTGATCTGATCTAAAGACTGTTTTGCTGCAAATAGAGACCTACTAACCCACGTTGGAAGTGCTGAAGACGATGATTTTAAAGTGCAGCGTGGCATGGGAGTTTCAAAAGCTGTATGGCCAAAGAGGTTTACAAATGCCAAGGATAGGTACTGGTCAATACTGGCACTTTTAAAATGCCAGCCTGTGCTTTCCCTCACAGAGAACAGTTACATTTGATTAGGGATCATCTGGGAGTGGGAGCGGGGAGGCAGCTTTGAGACTAGGAGAACTCTACAGATAGAAGCAGAGAGAACTGGGATGAAGTAATTATTGGTATTGCCGAAGACTCAAGGGGAGAGAGTCTTTCTGAACACAAGCCTGGGAGGTCTCCTGTGGCCCGAGGCTGACATTCTCGGGCTGGTGATGACATTTACTATCCGGGGTGAGTCTTAAGCTTTAAGAGCAAAACAGAATTGTAGCTTTTTGCCTTGATTTAGACCAAACTTCGGGACATATTAATATCAGCGACTGTTTAAACAGAGCAATAGACAACAGCACACCACTTTAACTAAACCCAGCATGCAAGCTAATTTTAAGGCAGCCCAGTTGGTGGAAGCCCATGCATTAATTTATTCTAATAGCAAGTGGGGGAGGTGGGGAGGGGAAAAAAGGTTGAAAGGCATTTTTTTTTTTAAAGAACGAAAAACCCCAAAGAACTCATGCTCAATGTCTTTTTTTTTTTTTTTTGGTATTTAACACGTACAATTTGGTCAAATTATGGGCAGGATAGCAAGAGAAGCTAGTCAGTTTTAAAAGACCGAGAGTGTGTGAGACAGGACATGATTACTTTCCTGAATCCCCACTTTTTTTTTTTCTTCCAAAAGAGACAAAGGGAAATACTTAAGAACCAATAGTGACGGCAACAAAGCAATCACTGAGTTGCAGGATACCTTTGTCTCTAGGGGGCACGCAGTAATTTTTACATGTCTACCACTGAGTGTCAAACCTTTTCTTTTCTTCTTCTTTCCATTCTGGATGGCCAAACTGATTATCTAAAATAGAAAATTAGCACACAATGGGTTTACTCTGCGATACCCCTTATGCAACTAATGGCAAAGCTTGTTAATTGGTTGTAAATGCCAGCAGGTTGCCAGGATAATACTTCAGAAATAAGCGGGTATTCTGATAATTACAGCAATCTTCATCTATAAAAGCTTAAGTAGATGAAGTAGTGGCTGGCTTAAAACCAAGATTTATCCCGCTGCACTCACATTAAAAGAAAAAATAAGATGAAAACAATAATGTAACAAAACAATTATATAGCAGGAAGCTTTGTAGGTTTTAGAGATTGTGAAAACTCAGAAAGTAAAACAGTGCTGTAATAACCAGTTATGGAAAAATAGGCCATTTACATTTGTGTATAATTAAATAGTAGGCTATGCAATTTCACTTTTTAAAGTAAACTGCCTTTTCCTTTTTTTATAGGGCAACGTAGCCGTAATTGCTGCATTAAAGCTTTAATGAAAGAAAAAAGCAGCAGATCAAGATGACATGTAACATCTACATTTGTACCGTGGCGCTGTGCTTGTTTAGTAATGGGAAGCTACTGAGGAGATTAAAATTGCAGAATTCTTCATAGTTTGTTCTAAAATTGCTATAGGAAGATCATTCGGGGTCTAAAATACACACAATTTATTTTTCCACCTTCAATCTTCAAGAATTTAATGGCTTTCGTAACTAGGAGGTGGTTGGAAATATGTTTTATATTAGAGAGAGAACTACTTTGGATCATAAAAATGATCAGAAGTAAGTGGATCAGAATTTAAGCCTTAGGGGCCTTCCTAGTGTATTAGAATATTGCCCAAATGTTATATTATAGTGTTTAACTTAGTGTGGTATAAGGAGCTTTCTTGTTCAAAATATCAACAGGTTGACTTGTAATATTGTTCCTTTGTATTTTGCAGTTTCTTTATCACCCCCACTAACATCAGGAACTGGTGCAAAAGGTAGCCAGCTTATATTATGAGGTAACATTCTGGTAAACAGTTAACAGGCATGTGGGCTTTTGTTTTTAAAAACAGTCTCTCCTGTGAGCTACTTTCTCCTAAGAAATATTCCTCAGATGTTACATTCCACATAGGTTGGCCATGTTTTCTGTAAACCATCTCTGGCAAATAATGTAGGCAGAGATTGGAAACCTTCATTATGTGTTACAGTACTGAGAAGAGGGTATGAAAACATGCTAAAAACACATCACGCAAGAGAGTTAGGAGAAAAATACCAAGGACATTAGTGCCAATGGCTAGAGCAATAAAAAGTAGCCTTAAGAAAGTAAAAACAGGAAAAACCAAACATTTATATAAATTCTACGTGATTTTATTCTTCCTTTCGTAAAAAGAAAAACGCAAAAGCCATTTCTGGTAAAAGAAAAACCCGAGGAATGAACCCTAGGAAGGCCCAGAATTTTGGCTTTTTCGGTTCTCACTTGAGGGAAGTGATGCAGTTGCTCCGGGGTTTTGTTTTGGTGTTTGTTTCTTGCAGGGTTGATGAAGTGCATCTTCATCTACGTGCAGTTCTTCTGGTATGGAAAACTTGAAATACATAGCCTTCTGGAGGGGCTGGCTTCCGCACACAAGTCAGAATGTGGTATTGGCATGGGGGCCGGAAGCGCGGGGGAGCGGCGCTCGCCCAGCATGGAGGCGCACCAGGCGGCCGGGCGGGAAACGCGGGACATGCGCGCCGCCACCTCACAGAGATGGGGCATCCGCAGCAACTGGTTTTTTTTTTTTTGGTTCAAGTACTACCTGAAGCGGGAGGAGGGGAAAGGGGGGAAAGGAACAAAAAAATCATATTGAGTACTTGTGGAACTAGGAAGGGATCCTGGCCTACCACTGAGTCTGGTAGTTAAAAGAAGTTCGTACCTTCGCCTTCTCTGCTGTTGGCTCCTCATTGCTCACATAAGACGCGGCAGCAATGGCCTCGCGCCCTCCCAACAGTATTTCATGTCTTTTGGAGGCTGGCAGTTGTTGAAGCATTTAGGATGGCGCCAAGAAGGCACTTGTTTTAGGCGGACTGATTTAAGATGTTCTTTCACCCACCTCTTTAGTGTGTTTTGAAGGAGCAGAGAAAATAGCAGGGGCAGGCTTTCTTTCCCAGGAGGTTGAAACCAGCAGAGTTTTGGGATCTGGGTAGGTAGAGGTTGAGAGGCAAGCCTTTAGGGGAAGAGAAATAGAACAGAACAGACGTCAGAATAAGAAATGTGTGTGTGTGGCCGGGGGTGGGGGTGGGGAGGGCAGGCATCATCCAGTATTGTGTCTTGTCAGAAAGCTTAGACACGACTGACTTTCCTTAAAATATACTGAAGAAAGCATCTCAAAATAAATCACCTACATTTAGGGAGAGAAAAACTTCCTCAAAAGTAGAAAAATATCGTAAAAAATCAAATAAAATTTATGGTCAAGGGCACATGCAGTTTTGCCAATATAAGAACTTGTGGAAATTATTCATTTAGCATAGTTTTACCTTTTCTGAAAGAAGAAAGTTGTTTAGTCTGTCTCATGCTTGAGGTAAATTATTCATTTAGCATAGTTTTACCTTTTCTGAAAGAAGAAAGTTGTTTAAGTCTGTCTCATGCTTGAGTTAAATTATTCTTAATGATATAACATAGTTTTCCATACAGTAGTGAAGTATTCGTGGTAACTTTCCTGAAGGACAAATAAAAATTAAATTGAAGAATTCAGTGCTTGGTGGATTTGTCTTTCACGTATAGAAAGAATATTATCTTTTTCTCTGACGCATGAATTCTATTTTGTTCTCAGTCACTCATCCTTGCACAACTGTACCTGTCCTTTGATATCTTTCAGAATTTTTCATTATTTGAGTAATATATATAATCAGATTGATTTACATTTTAGCCTCTTTATGCTACTAGCATTTTTGCCCCATCACTTATGCTTTAGAGAAGGACACACTCCACAGAGTAAACCTTTGAGAAATTTGTGAATTAATTATTTTTAAATGAAGAGTAGAACATTTTTGATATTTTTAAGGTATTATCGATGAAATGGATATTAAACTGATAAGAATTTAAAAATAAATATTTCCAAGTCAGTTTGAGGATTAAGTACTTAAAAAGCAAAGTTCTCTGACTAGAATTTTCTCTTAGCAGAGGAACATAGTTTCTGTATGTACAGAAAGTATAGCATGCCATCCTGATGGCACTCTTGCGGGAATCGTTGTGTTCGTCCTAACAGTGAACATTTTCTCTGTTTCTGTGTCAGTTGTCACTAATCAGTTATGCATCTGATGTGCAGATCCATCAGGGCAGAGAATTTAAGTCATTTTGGCTTTAACACATATGATATGCTTGTACAGGAGTTTACCAAAGCCCCTTTTGATACATTTTCAGAAGGGGACGTGCATATGTTATGGTACCTCTACAGCAGCAGTGACTGAACTAGCTGACAAGTGACAGGAGGGTTTTTTTCCCTCTTTGGTATTTCATGGAAGTGTGCACAAATCATAACAAGTTGCCTCACTTTCATAAGACAGGGAACATTTCCCTTAAAGCGCACATGGCTATATGGTGTGTTTGTGTACATGAAAATTCATGCTTCTATCAAGTTTAATTTTGCCATTTTTGTTGTTTTTAAATTACAGGTTTGGGGTTTTTGAAGAGGCATAAATAATGGCTTTCCATTTCATTTTGACTGATTTTTGAAAAAACTATATCAAAGTCATAGTGGAAAAGTAAGGTTCTTTACTATTGAGAGAAACTGTTGAAATACAGGTGACCCATATCTGCTGGGCTGGTTGTTGTTTTATGAATTTGTCAAGAATCCTCAAAAAATAGTAAACACCTACTATATGCCAAGAAGTCCTATGTCAGATGATATGCAGCAGACCAGGGTTCACAATCATCTGTCTGAATTTGGACCCATGTTTTAAATCAGTATTAACAGCAACAACAACAGTAAATATAGGAGCCCTTATGCTGTTATTTCTTCCTTAGGCTCTGTGCTGTACAGGCTTATCCCCAACCATATGCAATTAAGGAAGGACAGTGAAGTGGAGAAAAAGTCATTTCAGTGTCAACAAGAACCAGCCTTCAGCACTTAATGAGCTCTGGTTTTGCAAGGGCCTCGGAATCTTCTTCGCTAAAACAGGGAAACTATTGGGAGAGACCAATGCGCAAATCACTTACTATATCACCTGAAGATGGATGCTTAATACATTTTGTTTCTTTGAGCTCCCTTTATCCTATGACCTCAGAACAGGAAGAGAGTCTGTATAGTTCTTTCTAGGTAAACTCAGATCTAGCTGCAATTTTTTAAGGTAAACTAAGATTTTTAGTGGTAGGTTCCTGAACCTATAAATGCTGACTGCCTGGCTGTGACATCTAAAATAATTGCCAGTAAAAATGATCTGCTCTAAATAGCTAATAAATATATACATATATATGTGATTTTCCGTTTTTCTAGTCAGCAGATGTATTCTTTTTAAATTCTTCAACTTCTTTATAATTATCTAAGTCATGAGATGTACCCAAAGCACTGAATGGGGCCTTTCAACTGCCCTGGATTTCACCTTGAATCAGGGACGGGAGGAAGGACACCGAGGAGAGAATTTGCCATGACCTCATTCGGAGCCCCATCTCCTCATGGCCCTGAGCTTAGAAGTTGCACAATTCTTTCTGAAGAAAAGCCTGTTTTTAACCTGCTTCAGGACCACATAGTGTGATTTTTCCATCATATGTAAAATGAGAGCAGTGTTACCAGGCTTGCTGAGACTTTAGAGTAAGGTCTCTTCTGTGAAATTGTTTGCGGAGTCTCTCCTCTATCCCTCCGTAACTTCTCTGTTGCTCACCTCACTCTTCCCTCAGGCAAGTGTGAATCTAAGCTTTTGAGATCTTGAGGAAGCGTCTTCTTCCTTTTTCTTTACATACGAAGTGGCTTCTTTTTCTGTTTATATCCTCATGTGAACATTCTGGATGGTAAGAATGACAGATTATTGGCTCAGTCACAATTTGCCTTACACATAACCTCACTGCCAATTTTATTAAAAAAAGATGTCTTCCTTTATGGGAGAAATAAGCATATCTTGGTCGTGGTGAAAAAAAAAAATTACACAAAAAACTGTTCCGTGAACCAAAATCTTCCATAAAGGCAAATACACCTGATTTCTATTGTGAGCCGCAGACAATGGGGCCTTATTTAACCTGCTTCTTGCCCTGTCTTCTCATGTTGTAATCATTATTTCAGGATGGTCTCTAACCTAATGAAAGAGAACCCTTTTGTGGCAAAATAATGGAAATTATGATGATGAAAATAATAATAATATCATCTTACAAGGATGCTTTCTATTCCATCTTCCAGGCTGAGCAGTGAGCCCGTAACAATGTAAAACAAGTAGATAATATTGCATACTTAATGTGTTTGTACATTACTTCAGACTTGTCCAGCCTTCTCTTTGCAGTGACTCTGAATGAGGACAGTGAATAATCTGATCCCAGGGGAGAAGGGAGTGGGAAAAATGTAGAATTTTAATTCAGGTGATTTGGTCTTATGCTTGTGCTTATTTAATGAAACTAGATTGGGAAACTTTTTTTTAAAACCATGATATACAATTGCAGGAAGAAGACACTAATTAAATTTCTGTATTATTTAAACAATTTTGTGGAAAACACCAAATAACTAGCTTCTCTGTGATTAGGAGTAATGTGAGATGGGGTGAGTAATAATTAGTTATTTTGTAGTGTATCTATCATACTCAGAGGGTTAATTTGATTTCGAAAAAAAGATGATGTTAACATTCTTTAAAAGATTTCAGATTCCCTGGGGTAGCTTTTACTTTATAACCCTATTGTATACTTAATATGACTTTTATCATTGTGTCAGTGTGTTATCCTTTAGCAGACTGTGGTATTTAAGTAAACTTCTGTGATTCAGTTTCACAGTATGATTTAGGATCTTATGCTAGTTCTCTTGGGTCTATGATGCAAGTTGAACTAAAAATTTTATTCTCAAAGTTTTAAAAACAGCCTTGCCTGCTAAGGAGACAATCTTTTAAAAATGATAATAAAAATAAAAAATACATTTAAAAATATTATTCTGGTTTATATTGCATTAAAGAAAACTCATTTGCTATTATAGATCTTGTAGCATTTGTGTTTTCATAGTTTTAGGTCCCATTTTGTTAGATACTTTAGGAATAGTGTCAGAGGATGTGCAGGATAAAAGAGGTGTTTTAGCTTTAGATGGCAGTCATTGTACATACATTGCAAATGACAGCATTTTTCATGTTGGATATGCTCTGAGAAGTTAATTTGCTGCTGCCACACATATGAATAATGTTAAAACTATTGTGTCATTGGCGACTTATATGACTTACTTATAAAATGAGATGGGATATTTTGGAAGACACACCATACAGTATGGACTTGACTGATGCATTAGAATGACTAACAGAGGGTCTGTGAGAATATATACTTTCTGCTTGAGGCTATAGAGCATGTCAGGTGTCAAGTACTTGGCTCTGGTGGGTGGTGTGTTTCTTTAAGGCACTAAAACCTTTAAGAGGTTTGAGAGTGATGATGTCATTAATTAATAACTGACCGCATGCTAATCGATACACGATAGGTATATACTGTAATGGCTTATAAGCATGATGGCTTTTTAATGGCTCATGTATAATTGTTAATTGATTTAAAACAAAGGGAAATTTCTGTCTATTGAGTCAATAGTTTATGGATTATGACTGCCTTTTAGTTTGAGATTGCTAATGAATGCTCCTTCCTTGCCCTCACCTCCTGTCTTGTTCTTCTATGTTTTTAATCAGGGATGTCTGTAAACAAGAT